CACAGAGATACCGTGTTTGAAGCTGTAAATATGGCTAAGTGAGGATAAATAAATGAATGGCGGTGATACAACTAATGGGTTTAGAATCAGATGACTTGGATCAATTAAAATCCAGAATTTACCTCAAACCTTTTCCCTCTTTTATAAAATTGAGACAGAAATGGTTGCTGCTTCTGGGTGTGAGGACGATCCTAAGAACACTGAGGGAAAGGGAAGGGAAAAGGAGTGCTTAGGGCCCAGCAGCGTGGCCTAGTGCCTGAGGTCCTCGCCTTGAACACACCAGGATCCCACATGGGCGCCGGTTCTAATCCCGGCTGCTCCATTTCCCATCCAGCTCCCTGCTTGTGGCCTGGGAAAGCAGTTGAGGACAGCCCAAAGCTTTGGGACCCTGCACCCACGTGGGAGACCTGGAGGAAGTTCCTGGCTTCGGATCAACTCTGCTCCGGCCATTGCAATCACCTGGGGAGTGGATCATCGGACAAAAGATCTTCTTCTCTGTCTCCTCCTCTTTATACATATCCAACTTTGAAATTAAAAAATAAATCTTTAAAAAAAAAACTCAGTCAAGGCACCAATCTTGTAAAAAAAAAAAAAAAGAGTGTTACAAGTTATGGAGCTACCAAGAAGCAGAATTTCATGGATGGAAAAACTTTAAGACAACTTTTTTAAAAAAACTTTTTTCATTTTTTATTATATTTTTGACAATTTTTACATAGTTAATTAGGGTAAAAAGGTACAAGGGCTACAGGAAAGTGGATAAGACTATTATTTCCATATTGTTTCCTTCATGTATCTGAGGTAAAGGGGGATATTGAGGGAGAAGCCCCACCCAGTCTCCCACCCACCCCAGGTACCTGATGTACCGCATGCTCCAAGATTCTTGCTCAAGTGGTTTGATAGTTCATCAGTTATGAATTGCTGCCATTCTCGCCACTCCAAGCACGATGACGTTCGTTGAAGAATCAATCCACTAATGGACATAGTCCATCAGAGAGTCTCCGTTTGCCCAGTTTTTTACTCCCAACATGTAGCTGAGATGGTTGATTGACTTGTTCTGTCTTCTGTTTTTTCATGGTTAGGGTTCTGAGTCTGGCATTTCAATTGGGGGGATCCCCAAAGAAACTTTGTCTGAGGTGTTCCCAGACCAGATTCTTGTATGTGCTAGCAAGTACAGGGCCCAGCACAGTCCATCACCCCGGTCAGCTGGTGGTTGCAATTGCTGGGTTGGTTCTGTTTTCAGCCCCGACTTCCACTGGAACCAATGGGTGTTGCAGTCCAGCCTGGTTTTGCCCAGTGCATACTCGGTCCTCACATAAACAAGTGGGAGCTGCAGCCTGGTGAGAGCGACCCACACTAACCCCCACCAGGCCCGCCCCCTACCCTGGTTCCCGTGCTTGCCATTATGTGCATCAGACTTGTACAGTCTGTTCCACATCCCACTCAGCAAGAGACAACTTGTTGACAAGTGGGACTAGATAAATCTGAAACGCTTCTCAACGTTTGATCAAGACTATATTATTTTGTTCAGTGTTTTTAGTTTCAGTGTTGCTTTGAATTGTCTAATCCCCCAGTGGGTGGGTGGGTCCTTTTGTATAATACAGTACAACAAAAAGTGAGTGACTAGGCAAATAAGATATTGAAAGGCATACAAAATTTTAAAAGATCAAATTTAATATCATTCTATGTAAAAGACATAAAAAATTGCCCATTCTGGTTGCTATCAAAGTTTCTAAATGTATTTTAATTATAGTTGGATGCACAACCAATTGTCCTGAAACCCAGTGACTTAAAACAATCATTGTTGGGCCTGGCACACCGGCTCAGTGGCCAAATTCTTGCCTTGCAAGTGCTGGGATCCAATATGGGCACTGATTCGTGTCCTGGCTGCTCCACTTCACATCCAGCTTCCTGTTTGTGACCTGAGAAGGTAGTGCAGAATGGTCCGAATACTTAGGCTCATGAACCCACATGGGCGACCCAGGAAGAAGCTCCTGGCTTCTGGTTTCAGATCAGCTCAGCTCTGCTGTTGTGGCCACTTGGGGAATATAACAGCAGCAGATCTTTCTGTCTCTCCTTTCTCTTTGTAAATCTGCCTTTCCAATCTTTAAAAACAAGAAATAATTGTTTATCTTACATGATTATTTTAGGTTAGAAATTCTGGAGCAGCATTTGGTTTGGTGGTGGTGGTGGTGTGGATGGATGTGGTTCTCAGTAGGCCACATCTGAAGACACAAGTTGGGATCATGTCATCCAAGAGTTCAGGGTTTGGGGGTCTGACTGGGGCTGGGGCACCCGCATTGTCACGGGGCTCTTCCATGCGCTTGGCTGGTGAGTGCTGCTGCTGGGGGACCTCAGGTCCTCTTCCTACAGGGACCCCTCCGGAGATTGGAGGGCTTCTTGGCACAGCTGCTGGTTCTCTCCAGAACAAGTGACCCAAGATACAGCCAGGTGGAAGCCACCAAGCCTTTCATGACCTAGCCTCAGAAGTCACAGGTCCTCATTTCTGCCACATCCTACCAGTTAAACATGTCAGTCTTAGCCCACGCAGGTGGTAGCATCACAATGGTGGGATGCCAAGGGACGGGGATCATAGGGCACATGACTTGGAGATCCACAACCACCCAGTGTTGGCTCTTGTTTCCCATACTTACCTGCTTCTGCCAAATCCTGAGTCCCACATTCTTGGGGCTACTCTCCCCTCAATTCCCCCTTTCTCAGCTGTGGAAGGACCCACTCCTAATGACAAGCAAAGTCAGTCTTCTTCATTGTTTTTCTATTGCTTTGCTTTCCATGGGCTTCAGCTTCTCTCAGTGTGTGATGAAGGACCATTCGCCCTGAGCTGCTCATTAGTGAATGAATGTGAATGGGGGAGGGGAGTTGGGACACAGAGGCGCCTGTTGCGGATTCTCTTACGAAGCCATCTTCAAGGTGGTCATCAAAGAGGCTAATTCAGGGTGCCCAGTTCAAAAGCATCACAATGTGACAATGGAAATTGACTTGATTTGGCTTCAAAGATTCTATTAACTCAGAGCAATGATGATTTTCCGGGAGAATTAATATGTAGCCTCTGGTAGAAAACGAAAGTGGCTCTACTGCTTTCAAACCTCGTTTAACTCCATCTGAGATGTACAAACAAACCTACAGCTCACACTCCTGCCCTGTCACCCCGCACGTGGCCCTCAGCCCCATGATTAGATCTCAGGCCTAACAACAAAGGACATCTTCCTAAGCTGGTTCTTTACAGCTCGTTTTTTACTCACTTCAGAAATGGCCAGAGAGTGAATTCAAGGAAGCCACCCTCACACCCCTCCTCGTTACTCACCTTATGTCACGGTGGCGGGGCAGGTGGGGGACAAGCTGAAGTCAGGACCCAGGAATTCCAGCCTGGTCTTGCATGTGGGTGGCAGGGACTTGAGCATCTAAGCCATTGCCTGCTGCCCCTCGAGGTGTGCCTTGGCCAGCTGGGACTCAACCCAGGCTCTCCGATAAGGCTACAGACATCGCCAGCAGCAGCTTACCTGCTGGGTTCACCTTGTGCTGTTCTGGCAATCTCTCTCCATCTCACCCCGTGGTTAAGTATCATCTGTGGACACGTGGAAGCAGTATTCAGAGAGTGAACCGGGGGGCAAATGGTGGCCATGACCATTCTCAAACCCGAGCAGGAGCCATGGCAGCTCTAGTGCTACTGAGAACAGCTCACTGAGCCCCATCCCCAGTTTCTTTTTCTGCTTGTTTGAGATGGACAAGTCTGTCTGAGAGGCAGTGTGACCGAGAGGAGGGCTCTCATCTGCCAGCTTCCTCTCCTTACGCCCACTAATAGCTGGGGACTGAGCCAGGGGAAGCCAGGACCCTACAATTCCATCCAACTCGCCCCCAATGGGTGGGAAGAGCCCAAGACCTGAGCCATCACCCCTGCCTCCTCGGTCTGCATGAGCAGGAAGCTGCAGCCAGCAGGCGGAGGTGGGGCTTGAACTCATGTTCTCAGGGCTGGGACACAGGTGTCCTCACTGGCATCTTAACTGCTAGATTAAATGCCCAGTCCTAAATCTTCATTTTAAGTAGATTCCCAGGTTCGACAACCACTGAGTTAGAACAAACAACCACTCACTGGCAGCCCCTGCAATCACCTGCGCTGCTGGAGTGCAGTGTACCTGGACTTGCTCTAGGTAGGCCACTCGAAGCGGCCAGATGTCCTGCCCCAAAGTGTCCACACCAACAGAAGCATCATGTCATCTTTAATCCGTCAAAAAATAAAGTCTCAGGGATAGAGATTTCAAGCAACCTCAGTTAACTGCAGCTTTGGTCAAATTATTTCTGGTCTTGATAATGAAACACATTCCAAGGTGTTTGCCAATATTTTTTTTTGGAAATAATTGAAAATGATAACCTTCACCTCGCTTTGTCCTTCCCTTGGCGACGCCAGGACGAGGGCGCTGAGAGGTGCCGACCAGCAGGTGGCACTCTGAGCCAGTGCACCGCGGCAGGCAGCTGGGCTGGGGGTGACAGCAAAGGCATGCACAGAGGTAGGTGCCTGCTCAACACCCTCCAAGTAATGTCCCTCTTCAGCACATGTCATAAAACACCCTGAGACATGCATCTCGGAAAATCGAAGTGTCAAGCTCAGCATCTTTGCCACATTTCAAGCAAGGTAATTACCTTCCCTCCCAAGGGAATCTGTTTTATGTATTTGTGTCCTTTCTAGGTTACAAGTTTCCCCAAAGGCAATGAGCCTGCCTTCCGCTCCTTCCATACCATACCCAAGTGAAATGCCCATTTTACAATAGCAATTTAATTATGCTACATCCCTCTCAGCTACACCATGACCTGTTATGTAATTGCCAGTAATATAGCAATGTGTGTGCCTCCCAGAAACCCTTGCAATAAATGGAAGTTTGTCTTTGACCTAAAAGAAAATTGCTATTTACGTCTCCTCTACAACAGGCGAAGCCGACCACTTTCCTGCCACCCCAAATGATTACTGTCAAATACACCATACTACCTTTTAGTCCGTCATTTTTATTAAGTCTGCAGATTTTTTTTAAACTACACACAACAAATACTTTGATATAATCTAAGATAATAAAATAGTTGAACAACTTTTTTAAGATTTACATTTGTATAGAAACAATCTGTGGAACTCCTCACCTCAAAGCGAAGGTGTCTAAAAACAGTAATTCATTGATTCCAATAATTTGGTTACAAATTGTGGTTTTCATTCTCAATTGAAACATGACTCCATGCAGATTCCTTTGGGCCCCAGAGCTCCAGGCCTTGGCAAAGTGGCTGAGCCAAAGAGGATGGCCACTCTCCCTCCTTCCAGTGACCGGAATGGGCTTGTTACACACCCAGGAAGAAAGGAAATCAATTACACATCTCAAGGCTGCAAGCCTCAAAGCTGAAACAAGCCCATCCCTGTGGTGGGAGATCCTGGCAGGTGGCAGAATGTCCAAGCACTCCTCATGTCAGTTACTGGGGATCAGGCTGTGGCCATACACCCTCCCCAAGGCCTTCTCCTCTGTCACATTGAAGTCTCAGTCCTGGTGTCATGCCACTTAGATGCCATGTCCTGACGGCCCAATCAAGTCCCACCAGCCCCTACAAAAGGCCTCACGCTGCCCCCCTGCAAACACAAGTCCCCAAACTTCCCCAGAGTGAGGACCCCGTGGAGACCGTACTTCTGGGATGCTGGGGAAGGAAGAGGGAGGGGTTCTGGCCTTGGTCATGGCAGCCAGCTCGGTCCACCTGCACACGGCAGCCTACATCATGCCGTTGGCTTTAGTCCACTCGTAGATGTCCTGCTCGCACACGATGTCCGAGTTGACCAGGAGGTATCGGTCACCCACACAGAAGTGCTTCTGGCAGGCGGCACACTTGAAACATTCTAGGTGATACACCTTGTCTTTCACCCTCATCGTCATCTCGTAGGCACGGATGCGTTTGTCGCAGGACGCACACAGACCATCCTGGCCGAACAGCCTGCAGGGTACGGGGTGGAGAAAACAGAGACGCTAAGCTGGGAAGACACCGGCAGCCGCAACACTGCCCAGCGCTGAACCTGTGCTGCTTTAGCACTGGGCTCCCTGAGTCATCTTATTTGAGGGCCACCTTGAAGATGGCTTCGTGGTGACCCTAGAAGAACCCATAGCAGCAGCATCCGTGTCCCAAGCTCTTCTCCCCTCGTTCATTCATGAGTAAGCAGTTCACAGCAAACACCCCACTTTCATCACACAGTTAGTCCAGCAGAAGCAGTGGGAGAGCAGCAAGCTGGAAGAGCTGGCACAGGACTCAGTGCAGCGTCTCTCAGTGCTGGGCCAGGGGGGGCAACAGCGTCAGCACTGCTGGGGGACTGCCAGAGACAGAGTCTCCGGCAAGCTGATGGCGTGCGAATCCACGGGCACAAAAGGGTGACACAAAAGGGACTTTCAAAAAGCTCATGGGAAAAGCAACTGATTAAAAAGTTATGCATGGGTTTCAAAAACACATAAGATTTATTTATTTGAAAGGCATAATTAGAGAGAGATTTTTCTGTCTCTTGGTTCACTCTCCAAATGGCCAAAATGGTATGGGTTAGGCTACATTGAAGCCAGGGTTGCAAAACTCTGTCCTGGTCTCCGACATGGATGCTCAAGTACCTGGGTCATCGTTGGCAGCCACTCCAGGCTCATTAGCAGCAAGCTAGAGGGGAAGTCAAGCCACCAGGACTTGTACCCATGCTCATATAGGATGCCAGCACTGCAAGCTACAGTTCAACCGCCTGCCTGTATCACAATGCCAGCCCCTGCATTTCAAAAGTTTTCATGCACAATATATTAATTCCACTTTTCCCATGAACTTCTAATTTTAATTTTATTTGAAGGGCAAAGAGAGACAGAGGAAGACAGAAAGATCTCCTGGCTGCTAGTTCAATGTCCACAATAGTCAGGGGCTGGGCCACAGGGCACAAAAGGCTGGCTTGAAATATGGGGGAGTCAGGACTTGGGACCAGTGATTCTGATATGGGATGCAGGTATCCCAAGATGCATCCACAAACTTTGTGAAGTGATCCCATAAAACGCTGGAGCCAGGAGGCCTGGCTCCAGGGTCCAGGACCAGCCCAGAGCTCCTGAGTGACCCTGCCATGACCAAGAGTCCTCTGAGCTTCCATAAAATGGCAGTGACCATGGGTAGCATCCATCTCACTGGACATTCTCAGAACACCTGTGGGGAAGGACCAAGCCAGTGCAGACTGTGTGTGAGCACTCGTAACCACGAGCACCGATCTTGCTTCCAGAAGCCACCTGCACTCACGACTGATGCCGTGGTACACTAGCAGGTCATTTCCACGTGAAATCCTCAGGAGGGTTTTAAGCGGATGCTGGCTCTCCCCAGAAGTGCTTATTAGCTTCACAATCTCAGAGTCAACTAGTATGTTCTGAGAAGTTGTAGGGAAAGTGAGGGCAGGTGATAAGTTGTGCAACATTTGGGCAAAATGAATAGAATGGAGCAGGGTTTGAGCCAGGGCCAGCAGCTTGCTTGTGTGAGCCCGCTAGCCATGCGCCAGCCATCCGAGAAGCTGTGTTCACAGCACCGCCCAGGAGCCAGCTCATTAGTGGGAGAGAAGAGTCATGCCAACATAGCAGATGGTGGAGCTGCAGGGACCTGCCACATTGGAGGTCATGGGGTGGAAAGGCAGTTCTGGTTTCCTGACTGTTCACTAAGTCAAGTTGGGGCCTGAGCAAGGGTAAATGGCAGAGAAAACAGCAGGCCTGGAATAACTCCAACTGCCTGCGGTGTAGGAGCCTTAAGGAAGGAGAGAGCTGATTAAAGGGAAGTCAGGGGGTAAATTACAATGCACATCGGGCAGCTAATGAAGGGAAGGAACCAAGTTCAGGTCCCAGCATCACCTTGGATGACAGGCCAGGTGACCTGAGCAAACCCCATGGCCTCCTCAGGTTTCTCTGTCTTAAGCTGTAAACCAAGAGAACTGGAAGAGGCCCCCAAAGCTACTTCCTGCTCAGGTATTCTGGGACTCTGATTGTAGTCACAATAGGCCAGGACTTGACACTGAACTTGAGCATTAACCTCTGGCACCAAGCCTTGGTTGTCTTGGGCTGGGTAGCTCAGAAGCAGCGCCCGTCATGCGGATTTGCAAAGGACATGTCCTCAGGGGTCACCTGGGAGGCACAAGGAGAACATTGTCCGAGGGAAGGCCAAGTGGAGCCACTTTTCAACCTCAAGCAACACCATGGAGAGGCCAGCTTTAGCTTGATGCTCTGGCTCTGGAATCACTGGCATGGAAGTCAAGCCTTCAGTGGTCCTGGCTCAGGCTGGGTGGCAGGTCTGTGGTGTCCAGAGTCTGCCCCTGCTTGAGGTCTATCTACAGGAGTGTGACAGAGTAGACAAAGCACATTTCCAAACATGAGGACACTTGGGCAGGGGACAGCTCTGGTTTCCTGAATATTCACTAAGATGGGGCCCGAGCAAGGACAAACAGTAAAAAGCAAGGGCCCACATCCCATCTAGGAATGCTTGGGTTCAAGCCCTGACTCTAGTTCCCACTCCTGCTCATTGGTAAGGCATGTCCTAGAGGGCTGCCAACAAGGGTGCCAAAACTTGGGTCCCTGCCAGCCTTGGGGGCGAGCTGTGCAGAGTGGCTGGCTCCTGGCTTCAGCCTGGTCCAGCCCCGGCTGTTGCAGGCATTTGGGAAGTAATCCAGCAGACGGAAGATCTCTGTCTCCCTGTCTTCCCAATGCTAAATAAATAAATAATTTAGAAGTGAAAGAAAAATATGAAGTGCAAGAGAGCTTCATTTGGCACAAAAGATGTCTGAGATCCAGGCATATCTGTTGAGGGATCTTCCAAAAGTGTATGAAAATGCTTAGAAAGGAAAATGATGGTGGATTTCAAAACTTTTTTTGAGCCAACACAAACCTATAGTCTAATTACATTTTTCAGGAACTTTTTGGACAGCCTGTATACCTCTGCTTTTAAGAGCTGCAGATACTGTCTAGCCAAAGTGCAACCAGCCGAGGCAGTGGCTGGGGACACTACACCAAAACTGGTTTAAAAATAAGAGAGAATGAGATCCAAGGGGATTGGGGCTATCTACCAGCATTAACCACTGCTGCTTGCACAACATGCAGGCACCAGGGGGTCTTGGGAATAAGAGGTTAGATGTCTGCAAGGACCACAGCCGGTGAGCCAGCCATGGTGTGGGAGGTGTCCTGAATGAAGGACCGTAGCCCTTAGGGGACTCATCAGCTCACCCCTCCATGGCCATGTTTAAAGACACAGCCAGGGGGAAGGGCATGTGGCATGGCGATTAAGCCACTGCTGGCGACACCTGCATCAGAAGGCACCTGCGTGTGTGCCCTCAGAGGGAGCAGGTGACGGCTCCAGTTCTTGGGTTCCTGCCACACTCTTGGTATTACAATCCAGCCTTCTGGCATCAGCCTGGCCCAAATGCAGCTGTTGCAGGCATGTGGGAAATGAACCAGTAGATGGAAGATCTCTGTCAGTCTGCCTGCCTGCCTTTCCAACAGCGAATAATAATAAAAAGAAAGGGTTTAAATAGACCCTACCAGATATGCTAAGAATGCAAGTAAACAAGTCCATAGCTAAACACCCAATCCCAAAGCAAAAAGTAATTTTCTCCTCCTCTGTCAAGAGGTGTCACATCTTGAGCTTTCTGCTGCCCATTTTAATAACAATAATATAAATATTAAAGGATGGCTGCAAACGCCGGCACCAACACAGAGTTAATTAACATGTTGCCGAGGAATCTAGCAGGGAGAAGAATTATTTCATGTCACCAAGACACAAGTTAATTAACATTGGATTCTCCCAGACTAGCTTTTTTTTTTTCCTCTCTTTTTTGAAAAGGGAAAAGATTAACAAGCACAGGCAGCACTGGGTTTCTTCTCAAACGTTATATAAAACCGTGGAGATAGTGTGAAGTGGAGGCTCTTTTGACCTCACTATATCTGCACTTCATTTAATAAGATTCAAATGATTTGACGGGGAGGTAGGCAGGGGCCCGTGGGAATCATTTGCCAGTCTGCCTTGTGAGTGATGTGGCAACCTGGGAGAGAGCAAAACCAGGTCTATATCTCTCCCTGATCTATTTCCTTATGGCTTAGGGGGGAAAAATTGGCCAAAATTACAATCATGAGTACTGAAAAAAAAAATCTTACTGATTTCCTCAGAACCCCCACATTTGCCAGGACTTTAGCAGGGAATCTGAGGGGCGAGGAAAAACTTATTGCATCAGTCTTTGAGTAGACAGATAAGCTTCCTGCATCGTGGGACTACCTGTACTGTTATTATCTTTAATGTGAAAATGCTCCAAGAGCAGATTTGGCAGGCAGAGCTGGCCCAGCAGCTATGGGCACTGGAGACTAAACAAGCTTCCATGGGCTGCAGGCTCCCAGTGTATTAGGGCTGCCCACTCCATGGACCTCGTGCCACAGGAAGATGGTGCAAAGCTGACAGGTGCACAACTGGGCAGATCTGACAACACAGAGCACGGAGCTGCCTCCACAGCAGCCAACAGGAGCCGAGCAAGACTGGAACATTCCCAGCAAAGGCATGCTGAGTGCTGGAACATTTACGCAGCTGGTCTCACAGTGGCCTTGGCTTGTGACCCCTTGGTTTTCCAAGGTCCTACTTCAGCACTCCATTCGTCTGCCTCCTTGTACATTTGACTGTCAGGAGGGAAGCTTGTCAGCACAGCTAGCATGCCACCTGTGTACCAAGCCAAGGACAACTCATGCTCTAATCCCCGGGCTGCCCACTGCTTCCTTAAAAGTGGGCTCTACTATGATCCCCACTTCACAGGGGAGTAGTTCTAAGATCAGGGACCCCAGGGTCCATCACCTTCCTATGATGGAACGTCATAGCAGGAACACACTTTGTCCTATCCTTCCTTTTCTTATCACATAATACTGCAGTCCAATAGAAGAATCATTACAACCAATATATGTTTCCAAGTGTGAAAATGAGCTCCAAGTGAGAAAGTCATTACAACCAATATATGTTTCCAAGTGTGAAATTGAGCTCCTGAGGCCAGAGTTGTGGTACAGTTTGCTACCACATGCAATGCTGGCATCCCATGTAGGCACCAGTTTGAGTCACCACAACTTCACTTCTGCTCTAGCTCCCTGCCAATGAACCTGGAAAAGCAATGGAAGATGGTTCAAATGCTTGGACCCCTGCACCCATGTAGGAGACCTGGAGGAGCTTCTTGGCTCCTGGCTTCAGCCTGGCCAAGACTGCAGCAATTTCGAGGAATGGCTATTAACCAATAGACGAAAGCTCTTTCTGTTTCCCTCTGGAACTCAGCCTTTCAAATAAATAAAATAAATCTTAAAAGATACATAAAATACAAATAAAATGAGCTTTTGGAGCCACTGTTGTGGTGCAGCAACGTAAGCTGACATGTCAGGAGCACCAGCGTGAGTCCTGGCTACTCCACTTCTGTTCCAGCACCTTGCTAACATGCCTGGAAAAGCAGAGGATGGGTCCAATGTCTGGGCCCCTGCATCCATGTGGGGGAGACCAGGATCAAATTCCAGGCTTCTGATTTGGCATGGCCAAGCCATAGCCATGGTAGCCATTTGAGGAAGTGAATCAGCAGATGCAAGATCTCTCTCTGGTGCTTTGATCTTCATATAAATAAATCTTTTGGGAAGAAAAAAAAAAAAAGAAAGTAAAACAAGCTCCTAAGAAGCTACTCACAAATCTATCTATGAAAACACCCCAAGCAGCTGGGACACTTCCCGGGTGCCCTTCCCCAGCCCTTTTCCTGGTCTGAGCCCCAGGTGGCGCAGGGATTCTGACTTTAGGTTTCTTCCTTTCTCAGGAACGCATATGCTTGAGACCAGAGCAGCAGGCCCGTGCTCAGCCTCCCTGTGCACCTGCAAGCCCGTGGGCTGCCAGACGTCAGCCAGCAGCCGCAGCCTGGGGAGCTTACCTGAGATAGTCACGGCGGCAGAGTTTCCGGCCCAGCTTGTAGTAGAGGCGGCGGCCCACCTCGCCCAGCCGGCACCCGCACAGGTCACAGCTGAGGCAGTCCTCGTGCCAGTACTGGTCGATGGCCTTCAGGAAGTAGCGGTCCCCGATGTTCTGCTGGCAGCCACCGCATGTCAGCAGCGACGGGGGGATCTGCAGCACCTCATCCACGGGTTCCCTGGAGACAGGTCGCGTGTTAGGGACAGGCTCGCGGGGGCGGCGGGGTGGGCGCCCGGAAAGTCACCAAGAGCCTCATTCTAGTGCTTTCCTGGGACATAAGGAGGAGGGGCGGGACACCACATCCCTTCGCTGGGTTTGCGTGGATCTGGAAGGAGCTGGGTCTCAACCCCTACATTCTCACGCCCTGGGCGGGGACCATCAAAGAGCTGCCATGGCAACTGCAGGTGGCACTGTCCCCTCCTCAACGCCCACACCCGCCCAGCCTACTCTCCTTCATTCCTTCTCTCTCCTCACAGTTCTCCCTGTTACCCCACCATTCCGCAGGACCAACGGGCACTGCCTGGCCCAGGGGAGGCACTGCAGACTAAAACGACAGCCCACCTCGCAGGGTGCTGAGACTGCCATTCCCCTCAAGGATCAGTGAGCCACACTCCGCTTGCCCCTCACAACTGCGGAGAAGCACAGGTGGGGAAGGAGGAAAGGTGCCCCAAATTATGTCACGCTGCAATCTCTTCCCAAGATAAACGTTCGTTCAGAGCATTATAGCAGTTCTTATTTTATCACTATAGTAGCAGTCGTAGTTGTAGTCATTGTATCACGGAAATTGTACTTCCTAGATTTTTTTAATGAATTCTTGGAGGAAAAAAAATCCAGATTTTTTTTTTAATGCTTATTCATTTGAAAGAGAACTCTTCTAGCTGCTGGTTCACTCCCCCAAATGCCGAAACACCCAAGCTGGGTCCTCCTGACACCAGGAACGAGGTCTCCACCAAGGGTGGCAGGGGCTCCGAACCATTGTCACCTGCGGCCTCCCAGGGTGTGTGGGAGCAGGAAGCTGGGTCAGGAGCAGCAGGACTCAATCCCAGGCACACTCTAATATGGGATATGGGTATCCCCCAGCGGCAGCTTAACCCACTGTGTCACAAAATCAGCCCTTAAAATCTCAGATATCTCAGATACTAAGGCCACTGCAAGTTACAAAGGACATCAAGTGGACTTCTCATTCTGTAAATGGAAAAACTCGCTAGGATACAGTAGACACGGGGGGGGGGGTGGGTTTGGCATGATAGCCTAGTGGCTAAAGCCCTCACCATGAACATGCCAGGATCCCCCATATGAGTGCCGGTTCTAGTCCCGGCAGCCCCACTTCCCATCCAGCTCCCTGTTTGTCGCCTGGGAAAGCAGTGGAAGATGGTTCAAAGCCTTGGAATCCTGTACCCAGGTGGAAAACCTGGAGGAAGTTCCTGGTTCCTGGCTTCAAATCGGCTCAGTTCTGGCCGTTATGGCTATTTGGGGAGTGAATCATCTGACAGAAGATCTTCCTCTCTGTACATCTGACTTTGCAATAAAAATAAATACATCTTAAAAAAAAAAGTAGATACAGGGATGATGATGGCAGAGAGGCAAGAGTGACCTGACGGAGGAGAGGGCCACTGAGACACTGAGCTCTCAGGCCAGGCAGTCTGTTCACAGCCAGCCGGGGGTACCTGGTTCCTTGATTAAGAGCCCATGTGTAGCATCTCCTACTCATTTTGCACTCCTGAAATCCGGCCTCTTTCATTTTACATTCTAAAATAAGCAACCCTGACCAATCCTCCGCCCCATGCCGCCTGCATCCCATGTGGGCGCTGGGTGTGTCCCGGTTGCTCCACTTCCAATCGAGCTCCCTGTTTATGGCCTGGGAAAACAGCAGAGGATGGCTCAAGTCCTTGGGCCTCTGCACTCACGTGGGAGACCTGGGAGAAGCTCCTGGCTCCCAACTTCAGATCAGCTCTGTCCATTGTGGTCATTTGGGGAGTAGACCAACAGATGGAAATCTTCTCTATCTCTCCTCTCTCTTTCAAATAAAAATAAATAACTTTCTTAAAGTAACTGCCTAACAAAGATAAAAGGAAGTGGACAGAATGATTTTTAACAATAAATAGGACACACAAAAACTTAACACTTGTTGGTCTGTGATCATGAACAAGTGCTTGGTAGAACCTTAATCAATACCAATCAACTATGTTTTAAAACCTACACCTTCTTCCAACCACAAAATCCCCAAAGGGAGTTTTCTCTGGGGTACCCTGTGGGTACTGCATTTCTGAGTCACAGTCGGTACTGTCTTACCAATGCGCGCCTTGCGTCTCAACTGGCCCATGCCCCCGAAGCTCAGCCCATACGCTGGGGGACCCTGGCATGCAAGCTCATCATCCTCCACGGGCCTTGACACCCCGGGGTTCCTGTGTCTGACGCTCACCAAGTGCTCCCTAGGGATATTTAGAAATGCGAAAGTGGAGCCCACATTTTGAAGGCAGACTAAGAAGACCAGTTTAAGACTTTATCTTGTTTTAGAACAACTGTTTTTGTTTTAGGGATTGTCTTGTTCTAGGACTAGGAAATGTAAAACCCAAACCAGTTTCTTTGAAACTTTTAAAGTAACATTAAAAATTGATGTTTTTGGAGTTCATCGAAGCCTGGCTGGCTTCCTTTGTTTCTCCCTTTTGAGAGATCGCTAGCAGCCCCACCCTTGCTATGGGAATCATGTCTGGAACCTCAGACCTGTCTGGTGCCCGGGGCTGATGCTGCCAAGCTCCTGGTGCAAGCCAGTCCAGGATGAGAACGAAGTGCTCTGGTAACTCACAGGGTCCACCGAGTGCCTGGCAGACGGCTCTCCTTCACAAGTTCTGGCTGTGCTCTGTCTAAACAGTTCACTGGCAGATGCCTAGCCAGGCCTCCGTGAGTTGGAGATGCTGATCTTGGTGACCACGCCGGCTTGAGTTAAGGGCACCATCAGGCATCCAGGGGCACGGTGAGCCTGGGTACTGTGCTGGCCTGAGATGACATGGGGAAGGACAGCCTCTCCATCATTCTGTAATGAGTGATCACATCCCACTGGCTTTGGTGTCCACCCCCAAGTCAACAGCTGAGTGAGATTCGCCCTCACGGCAGTTTCTGTTCTCCCAGTGCTTTCTTGAATATTACACCAGACTACCACCACCAACACTACTTCAGTCTGAATTTCTGATGATTTTTTTCAACAATCTTCAAAAATGTACTGTGGCAATTTCTCAGCTAGCTTGTCCACACTGGATTGCGAATCCATCCTCTTGGGGCAAAGACATGAGACATGGCACAGGTGAGCCTGCACCAGCGGGTTAAAGGAGTGAGCATTCTTCAAGGTTCTAACCTCAGTGGAAAAACACACACTGAAAGGGGCACAGATCCTGGAAGGAACTGAACCTCCCAGATTTATCTTCTAATAAAAGGATTAGCGACTAAATTCTGCTGATCGAAAAGGCATTAGGCACCTAGCCAGCCAATTCACTCCCTTTATTGTACAGCCACGATCTTGGCCAGCCTCTGAAACCCCAAGGCTCAGCTGTCATTCTAGGTTTATAAAAAATGGGGGAAAAAAAGTGAACAAACTCTCCCTTCTAGCCAGCCTTCATATAGACACATACTCTTCAAAAAGCAACAGATTTTCTTTAGAGAATTTGCTTCAGGGAGCAGGGGTTTTTGTTTTAACAAACCTATCTGCTTATAGAAACCAGCATCTGAACCTTAGATTGAACTGTGATGTTTATATTCTGTTTGAATTCTGGTACTTCCTGTGTTTTATGAGAACATGTTGAGCTTTTCTGCTGGTAACAGAGGGTAAAATCCAGGTAAATAAACATCATAGAAGACTGAGATGGGGGAGGGGGAGAGGGCCCGAAGCAGGAAAGCACAATTCTTTTAACGTAGGAAAAGAAAAGAGAGAGAGAGAGAAAAAAGAATGCCTTTTAAAGGCGCAAATGGACAAGTCATTAACCAGCTCCTTTGGTCTCGTGTAACAAATCCCTTCAAAGGATTAGATGGACACTTCAAAGGCATAAAAATTCTCAAAATCAGACAGCTAATGACTCTTAAAAGGGCATCTGCCTCGACGGGAAAATGATATCTTAAAAACCCTTGCTGCCCACAGGAACAGCAGGAGGATGGGTTTGGGCCAACACAAGGGGAATCAGGGAACATTCCAAACCAGCGAATGGTTCAGAAAACAGGCGCGGGAAAAGCCCCCAAGAGCTCTGAGTCCCCGACCCCAAGCCCTTGCCAGCCTATGGCACAAAACGATGAACTCTGCTCCCCGAAAAATACAGACTTACAAAATAGGGCGCTAACTTCGGGGACGTATGGGCCCTCACTGTTGGAGAGACTCCCTGGCTTCTTGGCTCACGCCCGCTCCGGGGCACCTGTACCCACAATTAACTCCTGATTTGACTGCTCTAGAAGTCTCTGAGACCAGAGGTGGGTGGTTGGGACCCCTTTACAGTCCCTTAACCGCCTGCCGCCAGTCGATCAACGTGCAGATCGGGAAGGGGGTCGTCACCCCCCATCCCCAGGGTCTTCCACTGGGGATGTCCTCTCTTTTCAGTAGCAAATTAACAAAGGGAACGAGGGCAGGGATGGGGCGAGGGGCGCACAGCCTAGCCTATCATTATATAGTTTGCACCTGCGCGACTCTGGGCTCCCCCTGTGCCTTCTCTGGTGCAAACTTTCTGGCCCGCGGTGGCTTTGGGGAGCGTCCCGGGCAGCCTGGAGCGGCAGACAGGGGCGCTGCTCTAATGCCCTCCCCTCCCCATTCCCTATCCCAGCCGCCCACCGCCCGGTTCCTCTCCCAGTGCTCCTCCAAGTCACCGCGTAAGGGGTAGCCGCGCACAAGGCAGAGGGGGCCAAGGGCAGGCTGCGGGCGCGCACCTGGAGCTCCGTGCGGGTCGCTCGCGCCACCTCGCTGTTCCGGGCCCGGGCCCGGGGCCATGGACGCCGGGGTAGGAGAGGACGGGGGAGGGAAGACGGCAGAGACGCCACACTTACTCGGACGGGTCCAGGCTCTTCCTCTCGATGGCCGAGGACATTGGGGAGGGAGGCGGCGTGCCGGGAGGCTGGGGCGCTCCCTTTGTGGCGCCGGGCTGGCGGGTAGCGAGGGCTCGGACCCCCTCGGATGCGCGGGCGCCGCCGCTCCTGCACCTCCTCTTGCTCCGGCGCTCCGGCGGCGAGCTCGCCCCACGGCGCTCAAGGACAGTCACCGCGCTCCCTTCAAACGCCAAAGAGAGAGAGCGAATCACCGGGCTGCGGGCGCGCGGCGGCCGAGGCGGGGGCCGGAGCGCACAGCCTGGCCCCGGGCGGCTCGGCTGCAGCTGCCGCCACCGCTCAGGACTTAACCTTCCATCCCGGTCCCGCCGCCGCCACCGCCGCCCGGTCCCGCTCGCGCCGCCGCCGCCCGAGCCCCTCGCACCTGCGGCCGGGTCGCGGCGCGCTGCTCGCCGCCGTGGGCAGCCCAGGGGGCGGCGGCGTGGGGCGGGAGGGGCCGGCGCGGCTGTCCTCGGGCTTCCTCCTCTCTCGGGAAGGTCTATTTTCGCTCAGCTTCCCTCTGTCTCTGGTTTCATTTCCTTTTTCCTGATCGCGATTCAAATACAATAGAAGGAAATCACATTTAAAGAGACAGCTGCCCGCCCCCCTTTTTTTATTCGGCCCTTTTTTTTTTTCTTTCTCTTTTTTTAAACAGAGCTCCGGGGGGGATTAGCAATACAAACGGTAGTCACATCAGGACCGACTTGGTTTCTTAAAGGGGCCAGTGTCGGGGACGCACAGTCGCTCCGGGATCCCCTTTCCTTGGAGAGATGGCCAGCTGTCCCCTGTGGATCACACTTCTGGGCTTCCCCTCTCCCGCGAACCCCCGGCAGCTTCCATTAAGGCTCAAAGTCACCCACCGGGCAGCCCAAGTCAGATAGAAAAGACGAGAACGCGAAGCAGGCGCGTCCTGGCTCGCGGCTGTTTCGAATGGCTTTCGCTCGCGTCCCGGGTTCGAGGTCCCAGTCCACGGGTGCGCGGCGCGGCTCTGCGGACGGCAGCTTGTGGCTGGAGCCCGCGCTCCACCGACGCCGCTGGAGCTGTGCAAGCAAAGACCGCACACTGGGGACGCCTGAGCAGGGCTAGGGGGCAGCTAATCCCCCGAGGGAGGACGGTAGGGAGGGAGGGTTCGCGGGTCCCTGCTCCATCAGCTGTTGGCAGAATTCTCTCCCTCAGCATCTTGCCAACAGCAGAATGCTGCGGCTGCAGCAACAGGGAAAAGTGCATTTCCAATGGTCCAGAACATTCCCAAGTTGGGACACTACTGGGTCTTGGGGCAAGCAGAGGAAAAACGTAGCGTTTGGTTTGAGGGTTCAGGGTAGACCCCCAAACTCAAGAGCGAATTCTGACAGAGGGAGGAGCTCCCCAGCCACCAAGACAAACTTGGAAGGTCTGCCTGTGGAAATTGTGGAAAGCCTGATTATGCCGGAGGCCAATTGTGAGGCTTGCAAGGTGGAAATTGCCAAACATTTTCAAAATTGCAGTTTTGTGTGAACAGCATGGATCAAGGCCCTGGCTAGTTTGGGTGAAACCGCCCTGAAGGTGAGAGGTGGGGTGGGGTAGTAAGTGAACTTCCGGATGTGGTGGGAGTTTTGGGTCCACATCAGGTCTTCTGTATATAAAATGATATTTGGATCAGACCCTTGTTTTGGTTCTGCTTTTAAAGAAGTCCTTAGAGTCCTAAATTATGTGACTTTTAACCTACCACCCTACTTTCATTTCTTCAAGAATTGAAAATAAACAAGTAGGCTGAAATGACCAATTTACCTACTGACAGCCAGTGGAATAAATGCTAGGACCTGAAGGGCCGCAGTGTGTGGTGCAGTGAGCTAAGCTACTGCATATGGTGTTGGCATTCCTTACAGGGTGGTTGCCACCATCTGTGCTCTTTTGTTAGTGGTGGGGAAGGCTTCTACTCACCCTGAAAAGGTGTCAGCTGATACCAGGAGGTATTTAAACCTCTTGACTGTTGGCATGTGGGTGAGTCTACTTGCTCATCAGTGGCAGGAGAATGTCCCCCTGGCCTGATGTGTACAGAATGCGGGAGGACGAAGGTTGGAGGTGAGGTTAGTTTTTTGGCAAGTAGGGCTCTTTGTTGAGAGGGATTTAAGAAAGGAAAGGTTTTCAGACAAAAGCAACAGGAAGGTCTGGATATAATGAGAGTAGATCTGATAGAGTAGGGGTAGAAGAGATTATGTTGATATGTGAGAGTTTGGTGGATAGTCTGAGTTAGTTGATAAGTTGGGACCGAAGGGGGAAGGGCAGGAAGGGTGAGACAGAAGTAGGTGAAGAGTAGAAAAAGGCATCCTGTGTGAGACAGATGCTAGTCATTTCTAGGGCTGCCTCCCGGGCTGCTCTATCAGCCGAGTTATTTCCCTTGGAGACTAAGGAGGAATCGTCTGCTGAGCTTTACAAAGAATAATGCCAATAGCTTGGGGGAGGCAAGAAGCCTGGATAAGGTTGGAAACTAAGGAAACATTGGTAATTGATGTTCCCCATATTTCTTTCCAGAGGACTGAGTGAGAGAGTAAGACATGGAAGGCGTATTTGGAGTTGGTGTAGACATGAAGGGTTTTTCCCTGGGCAAGGAAGAAGGCTCTGGTTAGGGCGATTCGTTCAGCTTGTTGGTTTGTGGTGTTTACAGGAAGGCCATGGCCTTGACTATGGTGTCTGTGGTGGTAATGGCATAGCCAACCTTCCGCATGCCTGTATGTATATAAGGGAGTTTCTGTCAGTGAACCAGCTGAGAGCCACCAGAGGGAGTGGTCCCTCGTGATATGGGTGGGGCATTAGTTCCTCTAGGGTTTCTACACTTGAATGATGAGGATTTTGGGCACTGGTTTGAGCAGGCAGGGGAGTTAAGAGGTGGAAAGCTCTGGAAGGTTAGTGTGGGAGTCCTTCACCAGTGAGACCTGGAGAGATGGAAGGAGGGTTTGGAGACTGTTATAGGTAAGTAATTTGGAAAGATGATGAGGGGATAGGATTGTTATTAGGGAACTGAAAGTATTTCAGATTCTTGGATGAGGAGGAGTGCTGCTGCCACCAGGGTGCCAAGGGGCTTACACTAGGATAGTGGGATCTAGCTGTGTTTGACAGCTAGGTGACTTAAGCAAAAGAGGGTCCTAGTTGGTGTCCCAAGGTCCTAAGAGCAAAGCTTAACTTTTCAGTAACATATAGTAGTAAAGTCCTGGTAAGGTCAGGTAGGTGAAATGCTTGGGCCTGGAGGAGCTTTTTGAATGGGCCCTCAATAGGGACTAGGAGGGGCTCACAACGCTGTGGATAGCGTTGTACAAAGGACAAGCCAGCAGGGAATAGTTGGGAATCCTCCAGTGGAGAAAGCCCATCATTCCCAAAAAGGAAAGGATTTATTCTTTGGTGGTGGGTTGGTGGAGAGATGAAATTAAGTGTTTTCTGTCCAGGGTAATGGGTTTTTGGAATGAGGAGAAATCCCAGGTAGGTTTTCTGAAGGGTGGATAGTTGAAGTTTGGAGGGTGATACGCTGTAGTCCCAGTGGGCTAAGGAGTTTAGTGGGAAGGCAGTATCATTCTCACTATGCTGTAGAATGGGCTACAAAGGAGATCATCTATAAACTGGATGAACTTGGAAAAAAAGAGAGAGAGAGAAGGAAGACAGGTCTCTTGCAAGGGCTTAGCTAAAGAGATGGGGAAGTCCGGAAAGCCTTTTGGGAGTACATTCCAGGATAATTGGGTGGAAAAGTAGGATTCTGGGTCCCTTCAGGTAAAGGCAAAGAGATTTTGAGATTTGGGGTTTAGAGCTATTGTGGAAAGGGCGTCCTTGAGGTCCAGACTAGGAAATGGTATTAACTTTTTTCAGTTTTTGCCACCACAGACTTAAGATGTCAGACGAAGGAAGTCATGCAGGAGACCTTTATTCAGTGAAGGAGGAGACAGCCACAAGGAAGGGAGTGGAAAGAGAGACTGACTGGGGAAGTGTGTTTTTATGGAGAGGAGGCATTCGGGGGTGAGGCCACAGGGATTAGTGATAATGGCTCTAGGGGTTTGGTGGAGGGGGCCGTTAGACAGAAGGAGGCAGGAGCAGCAGGACACTGGTGGGTGGAGGATCCTAGAGTCACAACAGGTTGACCGAGAGCAAAGTTTGAAGGGTGTGAAACAAGGAATTTGAAACAGGAAGCCTTAAAGAAGCCAGGTAAAATGGAGTCAGGCTTAAGATAACAGGGGTCTCCACAATTTCTGTGCTTGAGTAACTCCTCACAGGAACTTTACCCTGTGTGCCACAATGCCAGCCCTAGTATGTGGTTTCTACTGGAGTAGCAGTGACAACAGATGGGACACTGAATGCATGGAACATACATGGCATATACTGAGCACACAGAGAGGTGACGTCTATGTTATCGTGAAACACATCATTGGGACCATCTAAACAGCAGTTGAGGGGTCAGTGCTGTGGTACAGTAGGTTCAGCTGCCACTCGTAAAGCTAGGGTCCCATACAAGTACCCATTGGAATCCTGGCCACACCACCAATCCAGATCCCTGTTAATGAGCCTGGGAAAGCAGCAGAAGATGGCCAGAGCACTTGGGTCCCTGCACCCACATGAGAGAGATGAATGGAAATCCAGTTTGGCTTCAGACTGGCTTAGTCTCTACCATTGAGGCTATTTAGGTGGTCAACCACTAATGGACGAAGGCTTCTTTCTTTTCTTTTGTTTTTAAAAAAGATTTATTTATTTATTTATTTTTATTGGAAAGTCAGATGCACAGAGAGGAAGAGAGGCAGAGAAGATCTTCTGTCCATTGATTCACTCCCCAAGTGACTGCCATGGCCAGAGCTGAGCCGATCCCATTCAAAGCCAGGAGCCTGGAGCTTCTTCTGGGCTCTCCCATGTGGGTGCAGGGTTTCAAGGCTTTGGGATATCCTTGATTGCTTTCTCAGGCTGCAAGCAGGGAGCTAAATGGGAAGAAGGGCCGCTGGAATTAGAACCCACGCTCATATGGGACCCCAGTGTATATAAGGTGAAAACTTTAGCCACGAGGCTGCCATGCCAGGACCCACCCACCCACCCACTCTCTCTCGCTCTCTCTTTCTTTCTTTTGATTTATTTTATAGATTTGAAAGGCAGAGTTACAGAGAAGGAGAGAGATCTTCCATCTGCTGTTTTACTCACCAAAATGGTCTCAAGAGCCAGAACTGGACCCATCCAAAGCCAAGAGCTTCGTCCAAATCTCCCATGTGGGTACAGGGGCTAAGTACTTTGGCTCTCTTCCACTCATTTCCTAGGTTTATCAGCAGGATGCAGAATTGGAATTGGAGCATCTGAGATTGAAGCCAGAACACCCAAATAAAATGCTGATGTCACAGGTGATCCTTTATCCACTATGCCACAATGCCAGTTCCAATTTCCCAAATTATTGTGTCTCTCCCTCTCTCTCTGTAACTTTGATTTTCAACTAACTAAATAAATTTTTAAATGAAGTTTTTAAAAGCTTGAAATTGGGCCTGGTGGCGTGGCCTAGCGGCTAAAGTCCTCACCTTGAACATGCCACGCCTTGAACCCATATGGGCACCGGTTCTAATCCCGGTAGCCCCACTTCCCATCCAGCTCCCTGCTTGTGGCCTGGGAAAGCAGTCGAGGACAGCCCAAAGCTTTGGGACCCTGCACCCGCGTGGGAGACCCAAAAGAGGTTCCTGGTTCCCGGCTTCGGATTAGCACAGTACCGTCCGTTGCGGCTCACTTGGGGAGTGAATCATTGGACAGAAGATCTTCCTCTATGTCTCTCCTCCTCTCTGTATATCTGACTTTGTAATAAAATAAGTAAATCTTTTAAAAAATAAAAATAAAAGCTTGAAATTAAATTTAAACGTGAGACAAGGGTTAAAATAATACTTTCCTACCC